AAAAATAATTTATGCTATGTGTATTCAGTAGCATAGGCAGGGTTTTTTGATGCTTTATATAGCACTTTCAACCAAACTTAAGTGTATTCACGTTTATAGAATTAAAATACTTTGCAAAAAATTGATGCTGTTAAAGCTTAGGAACAAATGTTTAAAAAAAGTGTTTTTCCTAACCTGAATTTTTTTAGACATAACAAAGTTAAACTCTTCAACAGCTTCTAAATATATATCTGAAACAACAAAAATCCCACCTACACTACTGGTGTTATTGTTTGTCATCCTGTAATGTTGTTGTGATGTTTTGTGTTGATAGACAGCTTGGCTTACCTTCACGTTGGTGTCTATCGTTAAAAATGATTATTGGGTAGCTTCATTACTGAAACTTACTCCTAATCATTCACTAAAAGCCAAGAAATATTTTAAGAAAAAATGCCGAATTTTTTTGTGTCAATAAAAATTTTTATCTTGAGCAATGCTGATAAAACTGATTTTTTTAAAAAAAAGATTATTTCCAGCCTTCTAACCAAATATTAGAGACTTTTCCAAAAGCACTCTCACAAAGTAAGTGTTTAATATTTCTTTAATATTACTAAATTTCGTTTCGTATTTTTTATTTTTCAAATGAATTAACATAAAACAAATAAATGTGCATTCAGTGTTATCAATAATGATTTTATTTCGTTTTTAGATAATGCTTTTATAATCAATTTAAAAGTCTTTCAAATCGCTAATCATTTTCTAAAGGCGAAGAAGAAGAATCATCAATCTTCATACCATTTAATAAAGCTATTTTAATAAAACGCAATACAAATTGTTGTAAATTAGTATTTCAATAATTTTCACGTTGTTACCTTATTTTGCAGTTTCCTATCACTTTGTATTGAATTAACTAAATCCAATATTACAGTTTCTTTTATCAAGTACTTCACATTTTCTGTTTTTGTTTTATGCAGAAAAACAGATCAAGTTAATTTATTTAACTTGCCTAGCTACTTATTTTACACGCCTAGCCACAGTGAGTGTGCATAAATCAACAGAGGATTTGGGTTTGGGCAGGTTGTCTTGAACTAAATGGTTTACCTTCTTCATGTTAAGCTCTAAATATAAATATACGGAAAAGGTGCATATGTGATTTTTTTTTTTTTTTTTTTCTAGCACATAATCTATTGATCACTAAAAAATATTAGAGGGAGAAATAGAGATAAGGTTAATGTGGAATAGAGTTTGTCCTTTTAGGGTGAAAAACTATTTTATAATCTATCTATCTTCTATATAATAATGCCGAACTTAAAAGTGTTAGTAGAAAGAGTCGCAACACTTTTTTTATAAGAAAACGTGTATACAAATATCTAACGTACGTAATTAAGTAATGATGAAACATACTGAAACATTTTTCAAGTTTTATAGTTTGACTTTGACTTAAAAATTGCATTGCGTCAACCTCTTCTTAATTTTTGATCTACAGCAATTCCGTTTAAAACAATTTTTATATATTTTTAAAATTTCGATATTTGATGTGTCAGCATGGCCGAATGGTTAGCGAGCTAAGCTTCTGAACGTAATAGTCGTGGTTCAAATTTACCACCAGCGATTTTTTTCTTAGAATCTTTAAATTACAAAATATTTGTAAAGTTAAACAAGTTAAATGTTATACACTTAAACCGTTTTTTTCTTTTTAAATTTTATAAATTTTTTGGATTTCTAAAAACACCAATAAACGGGGCGAAAATTTGTTGCGTGCGTGTCATGATTTTGATACTGTTCTCACATAATTGGTCCTAATAAGCTACGGATAGTCTTAAAAAAAAAGTCCTAAAACCTAATAAGGAAAAAAATTTGATAAAACCGTCCCGCTACTCCACATGGTATTGCAGTGGAGGCAGAGGAAAAAAAGCAATTAAAAGGTTTTTCGCTATATTTAATTTTTTGCTATAAATATAGCCAGATTAAAAAAATTAAAAAAAATGTATGGAGATTTTTTAGGCGCGGATTTGAAGCATTGCACAGCGACTCTGATGACTGCGCACTTAACTTGTGAGCTATCAAAGTTATGCATGTAGTTAGGTGCTTCAACATTTTTTTAAAAATGTAAAATGAAAACAAAATAAATACCATAAGTAAGAGCTAAATAATAACGTTTAAAAATTACCAAACCTTTTATTATATTATTATTAGTTTTTCAACTTTTAAACCACAAAATTTATAATTTATTTTTTTGCATGACTTTTGACGCTTTAAGTGACTAACGTTTTAAAGAATTGCATTACCGTTTCCGTCTAATACAAAGGTAACTATAAAAGACCGTTATTATTCAAAACTAAGCATATAATAACAATAAATATAGTAAATAGTAACTATTGAAAATGGCTAGGACGCGACCATAAACCATGGTCCATGGCTGCAGTAGCGTAGCGACAAAAAATTGGCCCCCCACCCCCCCAAAAATTTAATCCGGGCCCCTAAATTACTTCACCACCTTGCCTTTACCTTCCTTCTAGACAAATAAGTTATACATGAAAATAAAAAAACGGTAATCTAAAACACAAACTAATGATATACGCATGTTATTTATTGTACTGACACTTTTTTTTAAATTTTTTCTTTGTTGCCTTGAGCCCCTAATAACTCTGGGCCTCCCCGCGGCTGCGGGCCCTGCGGGCCCTTTGCTACGCTACTGCATGGCTGGTCTAAAAGTAGGAAGTAGTTTAGTTCAGAATTTTTAAAAAAAAAAATAAATAAACGGGGTTTAATAAGCTATATACGTATGCGGAAAAAGTGCGTATGTTAAAGTTTTTTTTTGCTCTCAAAGCAAATTTTTTTAATGAATTTTTTTCCACCGTTTACTAAAAAATATTGAAGTAAATAAGGAACAAGTAAAGAAATGATTAGCGTGGAATAGATAAATATAGAAGTAGAAGAAAAGACCTGTATTTACCGATACGGACAGCTAGATTAAGAAAATAAGGGAAAAAGTTTGTGTAGAATAGACTTACAAAGACCCGTATTTTTACGGGTCAATTCAGCTAGTATATATATAATATATAATTTAATATATATAATTTAATCTAATTAATATAATTGAAATACTACTAATC